TGAATAACACAGTGTGTGATCAAACAGTGAAATTTTAGCATGCCTCATAACGAAGGCTCCAGAGGGACCAACTTAAAACCATGAAGTAATACAGAATTTCCTAAAAGCCTGAAAATTCCAATATATGCTAGCTGGTATTCATAGAATCACTGAGTGGCTTCAAAGTCCACCCAACCCCAACCCCTGCCATGGACTTTTTGCCCCCCCACCACATCAGGCTGCCCAGGGCCCCATCCAACCTTGATGTCTCCAGGGATGGGGCACCCACAGCCCTCTGAGCAGCCTGTTTAACACACACGCAATCTGACAACTGCCAGTGGGTAGCAAGGCAGTTTGCTACATGCAGACACTCATTGCAGCCTGTTGGTAACGTGGCAGTCATCTTTTTAACATCTGCACTTGTAGCACAACCCACTTTTCAGGACAGGAAGGCAAGTGGAAAGGTGAGTCCTCTACCTTTGTTCACCAAGCATTTCAAGTTGGGCTGTGGAGATATTTTCTGCTGCTCAGATGCATGGAGTACAGAGATTTCTTTGATCCAGTGTTCAAGGGGAATCATTTTGACCAGCTCTGTCTTCATCTTCTTGTCAAACTCAGCCTAAAGAGCCCAGAAATTCTCAGTCCCATTTTCTCTCCTGCAGAAACATAACTGAATGAAATAATGAAAACGATGGAAAATAGCTAAAATTATTCTATTTAATAATTTCTGGTTTGCTTTTGTTTGTTTTGAATTATAGCAGAGTTTTTCTCTCTTGGCAATACTTAACAGCAAGGAAAGAATATTGGGAAGAACTTCTTCTCCAAAAGAGTGGTGATGCACTGGCACAGGCTGCCAAGGTTGGTGGTGGAGTCACCATTCCTGGATGTGTCCAGGAGCAGTGGAGATGCAGCACTGAAGGACGTGGTTAGAGGTGTGGTGGGGATGGGTTGGGGTTGGACTTGGTGATCTTAGAGGTCTTTTCCAGCCTCAATGATTCTATTTTATGATTCTATGAAAGGACAAAGGATGTTGTGCTCCTAAGCCTTGCTGTTGCAATTCCCACTTTACAAATAATTACTTTGTTTTTCCAGCATCTGGGCCTGGTGTAATGCCAGTGTCTCACCTAGCGAAAATGAGGATATATACGAGATATGTTTGTTTGGGAGCTTCCTCAGTGCGTTGCATTCCTGTATGTGGGAGACCATAAATACAGAGTGAATATGGACCTCTTATCTTGATCAGAGGAACGTGGTCACAGTGAATTACAGCACCGTACCCAGTAATCAAGAAAGCGTGGTGATGTATTGGCACAGGCTGCCCAGGGAAGTAGTGGAGTCACCATCCCTGGAGGTGTTCCAGAACCATGGAGACGTGGCACTGAGGGACACAGTTAGTGGTGTGGTGGGGGTGGGTTGGGGTTGGACTTGGTGATCTTAGTGGTCTTTTCTAACCTTAATGATTCTATGATTGTGTTCTATGATTCACCAGTGCTCTGTTATACCAAAATCTCCAAGAAACCTATTGAATGCATCATATCACAGCATTTGAATCTGTGCATTTGTGTGCAGCAGCTCCTTCCCATCCTGAACCACTCATGTTGATGGCAGATGAACACATAATGAGCTACTGTGCACCCGAGTGAAACTTGTAACTTTACAGCTAGCTCTTGCCAAACTGGTTCCAGCAAAGCAGGCACTGCTCTGTGCAAGGGACCTTTGCTGCCCTCTGCCTGGCTCCTCAGAGGATGCGCTGTCAAAATATTAAAATCAGACTTTTTTTTTCAGGATTTCAAATAACACCTCAGAATTTTCTTAATGAAATATTTCTGCTTTTTCCTGCTACATCTCTTATTCAAGAAAATCTGAATAAAATATTTTAGCTCTGGACATCAAACTGGAATGCTCTGGCTTTTCAGCAACTCAGAGCACTGCAAAATGCTCCATAGATGAGAAAGCATTTCTCTGCTGCAGTTTACTGATCTGTGAGAACTGTGATGCTCAAGAAAGATCTCCACAGAAACTCCACAGAGAAAACTAGCAACCCTGATGGACAGATGTTAGAACAGGGTCACCCTCACCTCCCTAACTATCTGCCATTAAAAGAAATAAGAAGAAATACCAGTGTTATCACAGCTTTCACGCAAGCATGAAAGTAATAAATTCAAATACAAAGGTGTTACTTTTAGGCTTCCATGAATCATGACGAGTTTGGGAATGTTTCTCACCTTGATGCATGCAACAATTTGGGATCTGATAGCTTCAAGAAATTGGGCTGCACGAGGCTTGGGGTTTGTGCTAACTACCAAGGTCTTTGATTAAATGCTGAATAGAACTAGATATAGAAATAAATCCCACTCAGTTTATCCTTTCCATTTGACAGTGTGCCATCCATTCCCAGTATTCCCAGTTCTCCATTAAGTTTTGCAAAGCTTCAGTCTCCTCACTTTTCCCTGGATTCTTTCTGAGGTTGTGTCACAGCCACGTTAAAGAGCAGTACACTACATTAATGCCTTTTCTCCTAAAACCAGACCTCTAGCCACACCATCAGTGAAAACGTTAAATAAACATCATATCACGTTAATCCAGCATTATTTGGTGATTACAGATTTTTCTGTTTCCCTCCCAGTCTTACCATACGATTCTTTTTGCCAGGACATTCTGAGGGGTGCCATCAGGCTGATTTATACCTCTGCAACTTCTCCTACCTCCCGAAGACAAACAAACGTTTGACCTTTTCCCATCCTCCACAGGTTCTCACAAACAGTTGCTAATTGCTCTGAGGTTGGTACTGCTCCCTCAGTGCCCTGGGATGAATCAGCCTCGCCAATGTGAAAACATCACATCAATCCCGTTATTTTCTAACTTCTTCTCCCTAATCTAGACAGAAATCTTCCGTGAACGTCCCTGACGTTACATGTATTTGCCTCTGGATCAACACTACCATTTTCATTAATAAAGAAAAAAAAAAATACAGAGGTATTAAATTGTCCATCTCCCAAAGCCTTCATGATATCCTACAGTTCTAAGGGACCACCACTTTCTTTGGTCTTCATTCATTGTCACATTTTGCAGTTGATCCAGAAGGAAGCAAGCACTGCTCCATGGCAAGTTTAACAGGCAGACAACTAGAAAAGAAATAACTGCAGTTACTAAAGGAAGTTACTCACTCCTCCCATCTCCTTGCTGCTTTATCAGTCTTCCAACTGATAATGGGGAAAAAAAAAATGATTGTACTAATTCTAATGCTCTCTTCCCAGAAAGGCTGTAATTTTTTTCCTCACCTTTCTCCTTTCCTTAGAATTCCTCTTTTCTCACCCTCACTGGTAAAAAGAGGACTGCAACATCTCTGCAGTGACCCATTTTTCTCAACCTCTTACCTCTGAGAAAGTGGTTCGTCTGATGTTGAGTGCCCTCTCCTGGGCACCTGTGCACTAAGGAGCTGTAATGCCCGGTGAGCACCTCCTGCTCCAGACAGCACAGCACAGCTACGTGCAGACACCCCACTCACACACTCTGGAATGCCCTGTGCCCAGCCAAGCAGTAGCTGTGCCCGTTGCTTTGGGCTGTGCCATTTCATGTCCATCTCAGCCTATTTCTGAAATTTCTCTTTTGAAAGCAAATCTGGGGGAGCGCATGGCCATCAGCAGTGACAGCATCGCACAGCACTGACATGAATGCTCGCAATGCTATTGCTGTTTTATGCTTCATTTTGAAGAAGCAATGACAGCCCCAGTGCCCCTAGATCACAGTGTTTTCTTCTTTGCCTTATCCATCCACACAGACATGGATGCAAATCCGTAGAGACTCTGACATCAGTTTTTAACAGGGCACACAGATTTCGGTCATATGAAATGTCAGAATGTGGTCTTCCATATTTCACCAGTGTTATTCTGCCACTTAATTTAATAACAGCTAAATATCAAGTGCTGTTAGAAAGTGCCTTTCTATTTTGATGCGATGTCCTGTCAGCAACTGAACAAGAAATAATGAGACAGATCTTAATTTGTGATGCACGGTAGACTGCCTAAACTCATTTCCAACACGCAGTGACGGCGTCTAGTGATGACTGATTCAGCACGTGGTCATCTGTTCCCTGCTCTATCCTCCCACACTGAAGTAACATTAAGAAAGGGCAGGTTCATTTGCAAGTCTTTTTTCAGACAATATAAACAAAACCGGGCTTTTCAAGATATGTGGAGTCGTGGCACTGAGGCACATGGTTAGTAGGCATGGGGGGGTGGGTTGAGGATGGGGAGGAACTGGATGGACCGGATGGCCTTTTCCAACCTATGATCCTGTGAAATTTTTACTCAACTTCTCCTTTTCTGCTATTACTACGGACTCTTCATTCAGACTTGACTAGTCTTTTGTGTCTGTAGCAGGCTTCTGTAGCTTCAGGTACACCACTGAACTTCTGAGGCAATTACAAAGCACTTTTGTTTTTTTGCATATATTGTTTTCAGTTTACCATCAGCTCTAATTTCTAAATCTAGAAATTCACAGTGAACTGCAAATAAACCATAAACAAAAAGAATTGCTAATATTCCTCCTTCATGTCTTTTATTATCACCAACAAAAAGTTGACTGAAATGTGAGTGATGGCAATAATATAAAGAGGCAGAATTTCTCACTCACGGTTTTCCAAACTATATTGCTTTTGACAGTAGAATGGCTCAGCAATAATGACTTAAGTTTTGAATACTGCAGTCAATGTTATCATTTGTTCAGCAGATATTGTCTCTAAATCTGCCAGGCTAGAAAGCATCTGCATGATGTCTTCATGGCTGAGTACGATGATGGGCTCCAGATCCAAAGAGTAAGTTCAGAAACTGAGATCACCTTCAAGAGCACGTAACAGGGTTTGAAAGAAAAAAATCCTCTAGTATAGACAGAAGGGACTTTCTGAGCAGCAGGGGAAAAAGTAATCTGGTCACGAGACCATGTGGTTGGTATAGATGGTCTCGAGACCATATGTTCACAAAAGTAAGATGGCTGTGCAGGTGGTCTGTGATGGCCGCAGCCTAGCGTGGGATGGCACAAACCTTGTAGGGGTGGGGCTGCAGCGTGCCCCCAAAAATGGGCTCCGTGTTGATGGTCGTCACTCCCTCAGGGAGCCGGAAGGTGAATGCCCGTAGCAGGTTGGCAAAGAAGATGAAGAGCTCAGTCCTTGCCAGATGCTCCCCCAGACACACCCGGTGCCCTGCGGGAGGAAGAGGGCGATGATGGCGAGTGCGTCACTCTGACCTCGGAAGCAGATAAATTCATTGTCGTGTAATTGAGCATAACCACTGTGGGACACCGTTAGTTGCATGGTGGGGATGGGCTGCTGGTTGGACCTGATGATCTCTGTGGTCTTTTCCAACCTCAATGCTTGTATAAAACCAGAGTATTTTTGCTAAATCTAGAATTTCTGTAGGACTTAAGCCAAACAATGACAGAAAATGTTCTGTAGTTCTGCCTTCATTAAGAAGCCTCTCTCCAGTTGTGGGCCATTGAGCTCCCCTTCTGCTTTGAATTTTGCTTCACTTACATCAAAGATCTTACTTTTATCTGACCAACAACTTGAAATGAATTTGTTTAATCATATAAGTGAAGAATAAAGAATTGTTCTTCCTGGAAGATATCACGCTCCAGTTTTCTATGCATTAAGCATCAGCGTGTTTGAAAGTGCTTTCCAAATGTATGCCTGGAGTTGAAATGTTGCCACAAATGAACAACCATCATCATTAGCAGAGAATTTCCTTCTGAAAATAGGGCAAGCTGTATGTATACATTTGCCAGTATGCCTCTGATTTTCCAGCTATTATTTGTTCAGTAGAACAGATGCTTACAATTGGATTGGGAAATGTTACCAGAAATAATTTTAATTTTATCACTGTTTTTCACAGAGAGGATTAAAATAGATGACCAGTAGGTCTTTAAGAGATGTCTTACTTCTACAGCCCCAGCCCAGCCCACTGACGTTTGTGGAGTCAGTAAATTTACCTATTGAGAACGGCAAGAAGGCTTCTTGGCTCACAAAGTTTCCATCCTTATCCAAGAAATGACCAGGGTTGAACTGTCGAGGTGTTTCCCAGTGCTCTGGGTCATACAACGAAGAAGCAATATTTGGAAGAACAATGCTGCCCTGAAAGGAGAGAAACGTTAATTCTGGCTGATCATCTTCTCTTAGCAGCCAGAAGCTGAGAGGTGAGACCAGTGTTGGACACTGCTTGATTTCAGTGTTCAGCGTTATGGCTTGGTAAGTTTGTTTCCCCAGCAGGAAGTGAAGAACTAGGAGGAATGGATTGTGACTTTGATTTAAAACAGCAGTACAAGCCTGAGAATAGAAGCTGCTGTGTCAATAGAAACTAACATTATTTATACCATTTTCACTTCTCACATTAAAAGTTTCTTTCTTCATTAAAAGTCATTCAGTGTCTTTGACAAAAGCAAGTTGCAAACCTTACTGCTTTTCCCTTGATATTTTTCAGTCTTCTCGTGGACAAAAATTCCGTTCAAATTCATCCTACTGCTGCATCAACAGGAAATCAATCATGGTTATCCCACAGGATCAATCTCCAAGATTTTGTTTTTGGCTACAATCTCATCTTCCACCCTTTGGCATCTTCCACTACTGATGACCCTCTTCCAAGAGCTGCATCACTCATCACAACCACAGAAATGGTTCTTTGTCCTCTTTCTTATTGAAACTCTGACCTAGAGGTACCCAACCCCAGTTCTGTTGAGGAGAAAGCCTTGGTACAAGTAGATTTGAATCCACAGTGTGTTCTACTGATAGAGGAAAGGCCTGTAGCAGCTGTGATAAACAGTACCTTTTTAAGGGGAAACCCCAGCAATGTTGTGTTCCTCACACACACCCTGGGCATGCCAATGGAGATAATGTTGCTGAAGCGCTGGATCTCATGAATCACAGCGTTGGTATAGGGCAGTTCTCTCCGATGCTCATAGCAGATGGTCTGGGAAGGACCCAAAACAGCATCCAGCTCCTTCTGCACTTTCTCTATGGAGAAATATTCATCATTTCAGGTGGGAAAATACATCACCATATTCAAAGACATTTTCCATTTAGAACTACTGTGACAGCAACAAAACTAAAACAAAAATATAGGCCAATTTTATGAAGGGAATCAGTGAGGTGTTCCAACAGTTTGAACGTGTAGGAATTCTACTGGGTCTGACACTATTTGATGCTAAATTAAGAAAAGACATTTGCTGCTCAGAATTTTAGAACTAAGCACTGCCTTACGCATCAGTGCAAGCAAACTGATTTATCATTGTGTTTTCTTTTGGCGAGGTGCCGTGGGCACTTACAGCCATTTACAACCAATATGGTCAGAGCTGTCTGGAATTCAAGCGAGGTGAATCTGTACATGATAAGCCTAGTTCCTATTAAAAGAACATGGGTCTTATGCAGGACATGTTAAATGAAGTAATGGCAGCTTCTTCCAACAAAAAAAAAGAGACCAATTGCTGGGGACAGACATACTGGTGTCTGTTCATTACAAGAGTCTGGATGAAACATATGACTCAAGAAGCTGGGCATGGATCATCCTGCACACACCCTGCTTTCCCAAGGATGTGCAGGGTGTTATATTTAGATAAGAAAAATTATTTAGGTGAGTCAGAGCTTTCGTAACCTTAATTACAGGGTGATAATAACCATGCAGTAACACGAGATTAAGTAGACCTTATTGTCTGACAGCTACACGCTAAGCAATTTTTTCTTATCTTCATCTCTTTCATCCATTTAAATTTCTCTTCTTCTCTGGGTATTTGCACATGTTCTGCTGTCTAACAATGGCTTCTCTGTTATCCAGCATAAGAAAGGATTCTCTGTTTTTCATTTAGTGCTCTGTGTCAGTGACTGATATTTAAAAGATAGACTTAAAAATAAACTACTATAATGTACATAGACATAGCAGATAAACCATCAAATTCTCCTCCCAGCTGGAATAATGTTTGCTGCAAGAAACTCAAATGCACCATAGAGTTAGTTTAACCTCAGATTAAATTGACACTCTGATACCTTGTGCTGAGAAATGGACAGAACAAAAGAAACAGACAAAAAATAGAAGCTGCCAATTGCCCTTCAGCTGGTTAGCTTTACTCCTCTGACCCACAGAGCACACACAAGAGCAGCGCTCCCTATAGCCCCCAGCACTCCTACTGGATCAACACAAAACCAAACTGAGATTCCCAAAAAGTGACATCCCTGCTATCACACATCAGTTTATGGTGTATTATTTTAAGCCATCAGTCACATTTACTGCTCTCTAAGACAGAACCCAAGTCAAGATCCATTAAAACGTGATGTCCGTGCTGTTCTATTGCATCAGAGATATATGTGATCCACTTCCTCTTACCTTGGACATCTGGATAGGCCACCATACAGAGCAGGCCCCAGTTCAAAGTAGTGCTTGTTGTCTCTGATCCACCCAAGAAGAGGTCATTTATAGAATAAACCATGTTTTCTTCATTGTATGTAGACTTGGGCTCATTTCCAGACTGCAAAAAGAAAAAAATAGAGGTTTATTATGTATATGCCAAAATCATGAAGGAACATTGTTACGTTTTTGGAGAATTCATTACCAACATTTAGGGAGGATATACCTTCTTTTGCCAATGGAGCAATATGGAAAGTGGGAAGGATATTTTTCTCTATTGCAATATCATATCTTTTAATATTCCCCCTACATGTCTATACAGACAGCTCTATTTTTTTTAATAAGCAAACTTGGATGATTTCCACCCAGCAGCATCCCAGAGGAGCTCACTAAAACAATTTCTGGTCCACCAGTGTTCAGGTTTTCATAAATCTTAAAACAGTACTGAAAGACTTAAGAAATACTTAAAGGTTTTGGAAGGCCAGATGTGTTAAAGGTGTGAAAATACAGCAAGAGGATCCAAGGAACTAAATGTTAGGCTCACATCCATCCTGGACTATATATACGAATATATAGAACATTGCACTCTGACTCTCCGATCCCTTTCCAGCTCTCTTGTGGTCTTCTTCTAAATTCAGCTTTCTTTCACTTAGGCCACAAATAAGTCCTTAACTGAGAAAAATTGCAGCACATTAACTGCTCTTTAATGAAAGAATTGCAAGACCGTGTGGCATATCAATAAGGTGTTCAGGAACTGTGGAGTTGTGGCACTTGAGAACAGGGTTTGGTGGGCATGGCGGGGATGGGCTGCTGGTTGGACTTGGTGATCTTGGAGGCTTTTTCCAACCTCAATGTTCTAGGATTCTAGGATTTAGCAAGTCTCAGGTTACTGGATTCACAATGAGATGTCCGTGAGGGGTAAGAAATGGTGATAAAAAGGCAAAAGAATGGATGATTTAACATCTTTCACTAAACAACCCATCAGTGTATGACCAAGCAGAACACACACTTACTTTTTCAATGTGAGCTAGATAAAAGTCAATGAAATCCTGCGGTTCATCTGGTATCTCTCTCTCCTTGTGCTTTCTGATCTCCCTCCTTGTAAAAGAGCTCAGAATGTCATAGCAAGACAATGCTTTCTTATGAGGACCAGGGAGACGGCACATCAGCCAGGGGAAGATTTCATACAGCTGCGGGAGTGATATACAAGAGGTACCACAAAGTCTGCATCACTATGAAATGCACTTAGACCTACTTTGAAAAGAAGTTAATATCAATATTAGCACATGGAGATTTTTTTCATTATTAATCAAGTATTCTGGGGATGAGTACATTCACGTTTTCGAGCTGTGAAACGGTATACAGCATAATTTCCAGCTGTGTTAATGGTAAGACTCAGAGTTGCACGGACCTTCAAGCTCAGTCAAAATCCAAATCAGAGCGATTATCATTAGAAAGAACTGTAGCCATTTAGTCAATTATTCAACCTGTCTTCAGTTAGAATGAACCGTACTCGGGCATTTTAAAAGCTAGACCCTGCCCTCCAGTGGAGAATGCCTGGAAACGAAGAAGCAAAGGCATTGCAAACTGTCCTCACCAGGGGGGGGAAAGGCAGTCGGTGAACCCCCCAAAAAGGCCACCTAGCAAAGGCTGGTGTACAAACTGGGTAGGTCCTCAAAGCACTCTGTACTGAAAGACCTCTGAAAGAGTCCTCAATAAAACCTGAAACAACTTCTACACAGATTTCTCTGTCTTCCTCTTACTGAGCTCATCTTGTATTCTGCTAATTACCCCTGGCTAAATTAGAGAGACTACACTAAATTAGCGAGACTAAATTAGAGAGACTGTGTCTATATTTGGGGTGGTGAATCGCATTTTCAGACCTGACATTCAGCATTTATCACGATGCCCTATGCAGGCCATTTGTTGAGCAACTGAGTACCAAACACAACCCAGGAGCATTCCATCAGCTCATGCCTTGCTGCAAAGACCTAAGAGTAAACTACTTATTGTGAGGCAATGAGCACAAGCGATGAAGACTGGTATGTAGTGCATTACCATCCCATCTGAAGACAGTGTGGTGCCCAGTAGAGCTGCGTGGGACATTGCTCACCCATTTGAAACTGTTATGCCCAGCAACCACCTCTCAAATCTGCATTTCCCACTTTCTGTGTTATTCAGCTAAAGACAACACATCATTTACTTACATGGTGAAGAAGGCTGCCTCCAAATTTGAAGATATGCTCTGTGGCTCTGATCAGTTCATGGAAGGTTTCATCCCCTCTGGAGAAGCGATGTCCGTAAACAACAGCACAAATTACATTGGAGACGGAATGGATGAGAGGATAATAAGGATCCAGAGGTTTCTCTGCAACCACAACAATAAACATCACCCTGAATGTCTCGTATTTTGCTTCATAGGTTACCTAAAGAACTTTCAAGCAAGCACTGCATTTCACAATTAGCAACCTTTTTACAAAATTGTAATCATCATCACTTAAGTTGGAAGAGACCCTAAAGGCCACCTGGCCCAAGTCCCTGCACTGAACAGGGACACCTACAACTCCATCAGGGATTCAGAGCCCCATTCAGCCTGACCTTGGGTCTCCAGAGATACCACCCCTCAGGGCAACCTGTAACAGTGCCTCATCACCTTATTGTAAAAAACTTCCTTATAGCCAGCCTGAAACTCTCCTCTTTTGGTTTGAAACCATTTTGCCTCACCCTGTCACAGCAGACCTTGCTGGAGTGTCCATCCCCCTCTTTCTCATAGCCCCTTTTACATACTAAAAAGCTGCCATCTGTATCCTACTGATTTTCTACAGTCAAGGTGCAATCAGTAAGAAAATTAATAAGAAAATAATTTCGCAGCTCCAGAAAAAAGTGTGAACAAATGTATTTATGCCTGTACTGATGCAGCTGCCCAACATCCAAGGCACAAGGTTTGGTTACTTATTGTTCTGAGCTTCAGGAGTCATCTTCTTTTCTTGCACGTGGCCACAACTCCATCTTTCCTAGTTCTTAAGTCAAGAGACTGGGTTGGATTTAATTACTTCTAATTGACACAATGCTAGCCACAGCATGTCCTGGTTTACTGTGCTTTGCATAATGATCAGTATTGGGAAATTCAACACAAAAGCTGCTAACTGGGTTGATCAGGATAAAATGTTGTAATGAAAACAAAATTGTACTAACTGCCTCACAGAGTGCATGCAGATTGTGCTGCAGTGTTTAATTCTGAGCCTCCCACTGGGTCTGAAAAAGCACAGGACTGGGTTCTTTGTGTTTCCAATCCATTCTACATCGACGCAGTACGACTCACGGAACAGAAGATTTTGTGTGATACACTAAAGATATCAGACCAATGACAGAAATGAATTGGTATTTGTCACAGGGATACCTTTCAAATTTGCAAAGAATTCCAGCAGGTGCTGGGCCTCTTCTTGCACTCGTTGCTCCAGACCTCTCTTCCCCAGGCCCAGGTTGCGGAGAGTCTTCAGTGCAAACCTCCTCTGCTGCTTCCATGTGTGACCGGTGGCCAACATAATCCCTGAGTCCGTGAAAGAAAGAATTCTTTATCATGCTAACATTTACTACAGACTAAGGCATTCTTTCACCTGAAAGAACACTCCCATTCCTAAATATCAGTGTTGCTGCAAGTGGAGATGTAGAAGCCTTTTTTTGCAAGACGATTGCAGCTGTTTGAGACCTCAGTGTATTACGATTACGATAGGCAAAGCCCTAAACAAATTTACAGACATACACCTATAATGCATTTTTTGTGCCAAATAAGAAAAACATGGAGCTGTGAAGTGGCTTAACTACAAACTTCATCGATGCTGAATCAAACTCAGATTGCTTAGCCAGGCTAGCTTCAGGCCTGAGATAATAATGATGGGAAGAAGAAAATCAGGAGCTTGGGAATTTCCATTGTGGTTGGGGAGCGTGGAACCTATAGTGAGGTTGGAGGGTGTCATCCCTCATAGATAAACCCTGCCATGGTGGTGCTGTTAGGGGTGGGTACCAGCTACAAAAGAGTTGCAGTTGTAAAGATAATAAAAAGTTTCTGTGCAAAAAATCATCACACCTTTTCCTTTGGCCATAGCTCTGAAGAAAGGAGACACCAGCCTCCCAGACACATCTTCGGGATGTGTGGTCATACCATCCTTCACTGCTTGGAATCCATTCAGCACGATCACTGGGGCCCATCCAAACCACAAGGTGAACACGTTGCCATAAGTTTTTGCCAACTGTAGATGGGAGAGAAGCCAGCAAAGCACAGCTGAAATCCCACACACCACAAACAAACAGAAGATGAACCTGTTTTTATGCTAATTACAGGACCAGCCCTAACCTGGAATGATGTTCTGCATCTTCTCCATGAGACTACAATTACCAATGAGAAGGTATGAATGTCTTTTCCAGCATTCACTTCTGGAAACAGCTGAGTCTGCCAGCTATTCAGAGCCACAGGTTTATGCCAACAGACATCAAGTGGATTTTATTTGTATACAAACCAAGGCTCAGTTCACGGGAGTCTCATCGTCTGCTGTTCACATGATAGAGGATATTTTCCATCCAAAAGACATTTTCCAGAATGTATATCAAGAGGGATTCCTCCATTAACAGAAGTTTGAGGGTCTTTGTGGATCCCACATGCACACACGGCAGATCTTCAGTGTCTGTTTACCGGTGAAGTTAGAGAACAGTGCTCAGAGAGCGAAAACCTCGTGCTGTGAAAGTCACTCTTTAAAGTGCATTTCTGTTCCCTGACTTCAAATCTGATATGTTCTCCCCAAAGGTGTTTATCCTAAAGGATATTAAGTTTCACACGAGTTTGTCAAACTCAGGGTTAAAAGGGGAGAGGTTGAAGCGTTGGTTTTCACACACACATAACATGAGAAACAGCAAATTACAAAGACTTCTAAGATGTTAGGATTATCTGAAAGAAATACCTTCATGAGGCAGTCACGATTGATCTGGAAGTTCAGCTGCAGCAAGGTGCCAAGAACGGGGAGAGGGATCGGTCCAGGAGGAAGGCATCTCCGTGCTCGTTGCAACTTTAAAAACTGCATAACCAAAAGGAAGACCACCAGTGCTATCATAACTTGATTTATGGACAACATTGCTGCTGCTTTTACTGGATTCTCGTTATTGAAAACAGCCTATTGAAGCTATGAAGGCTGGTTGCTCAACCAGTTGTTTTTTTTCGTAAGAGTTTAAATTTCACATAATAACTATTTATTCCACGCCCCTAACCCTCCCTCCTCATTATCAACCACTCTGTTCCTGACCCACCCATCGCATTTTCATGATGAAGCATGTTTAGGTGCATGTCCTTCTCCTTTTCATTCAGATTTCAGTTATCAAATACGGATCATGGGTTTTGTAGGAATTTAGCTGTGTCTGAGATTCGTAACCCATGGCCAAGATTCTCCAGGCACTCTAAATACACATCTCCATATGCAAGCTCTCCAGCTAATCTTCTGAGTCAGTTGTGGATGCGTGTGCTCCTACAAATACTTCATGAATGCTTTTAGGAAAGCAATAACCGTACAAACAAATTAAGCATGCAGATGTAAGTGGATACTAAATCTTGGAGTTTCTGAAATGTTTTGTATGTGTTTTATTTATACCTACATTCAGGGGAGCAACTGATTAAGGGTAATGGCAAGGCTGATACAAGTTAAAAGCCCGCATTTGTCATAAAATAGAGATACCAGTATACTGGCATCTTATGCTCAACGTGCATAGTTAACTCATTAGGAATCTTGAGCTACAACCAGAGCTAAAAGCCTCTCTTTGAGAACCAGCTGGAACACGCATGTGCCACACGTGGCGAGTGGAGAATAAAGGCTGTGTGAAGCAAAGTCCTTTGCCAAGACTCAACATATGCAGGAAGTATAAAGCTGTTTCCAGGAGGGCTTTATAGGCTTGCAATCCCACCATGAAACTGCAAGAGTTGTGCTTCAGCTTGCTTCTTACAGCAGCATTTTCTTTGGGATGAAATTGACATCATGGGATTTGTGGCTCTGGGACATGCAATGGGCGTACCCAGAACAAATGGCCTGGAGGCTGCCAGCCCACAATTCCCAGACTTCTGCATCAGTTAGCTTCCAACCACATTGCTTCATTAGTATTAAAGCATAATGTAGGAATGCATATTAACCAAGGAAGGGCTGTTTCTGTGCTTCTACAAAAGCTTTATTTGTTTGTAATAACAAGCTTATTTTGCAAGGCACTCGTTTCTGATTTAACTCTCTCAAGCATACTTTTTACTCCAGGCTCAAGGACTACCTTTGTTTCAGCATCTTGGGATTTTCCACTGTGAATCTCTGAAACATTAGGAAATGTATTCCACTAGGATGATCCAGCTCCTTAGGCTGCGGGCATCAAACAATAAAAATCATCAATGAAAACTGCATGGTTTAGTGGGCAATACTGGTGGTAGGTGGATGGTTGGACTTGGTGGTATTAGAGGTCTTTTCCAACCTTAACAATTCTGGGATTCTATGATCAGTGGTCATAGGTCAAGCAGTGCCCAATCCAAGTTTTAGAAGCCTTTCAGAGGAATCCAGGCATGGCAGCCAAAACCCTCCTGGCACCACCGATCTCCTCAATGATCTCAGCGATGAAGAGTAGCTGCAGGGCCTTGATCCAACACCAGGACATGGAAGATCCTGGGAACATGGGTAAGGATTCAGGAAGAAATAAACAAGGGTTGTGTAATTTCTGCTTTGTGTGCAAGAACGGTGATGCTCTGATGCTGATTGCATTCTCCAAAACTAAATGTATTTTCACAAGAAAGAATTTGGGAATGTTCGGACATAAACTCTATGGGTCACAATAGGAGCCCCACGTCTATCACCTCTTTCCTGCCAAGGCTTCAGCAAGCATAGGGAGAAAGAAAGGAAAAGCTGGCATTTACCCATGCTGATATCCACATCAGTTTGTTATTTGTTTTTTTTCCCCTAGGCTCTTAGACAACCACTCCTTTCTCAAAGTGGTATTGTTTTGCTGCCCCAACAGAAAGCCCCAGGCTGCTTTCTCCAACACTGTTATTATTCCTCTGTCACTTCTGCTTGTGGGAGTGAGGAGGCTGCAATTCATGCTGCCATTATTTAGTCTTTGGCTTAATGCAGACAAAGCTCTTTTGTTAGGGAACATAACTACAGCTACTCTACAGGTAATTTAAGGAACTGTATAAGAATATGGCAAGACAAACAACTCCGTAAGGTAGGAAGGCAGTAAAAGCAAAAAGAGAATATGGGACAAGCAGAAATATAGAAGACACCAGAAGGAGGAATATATAAAGACAAATATATCCATCCAACAGATGGGAGAGAGATAAGGGAAAAGATTTCAGTGAAGAGAGAATATCGGACTGCAGAGGGTTGGAAGACATCCAAAGAAAAGCTTACAGGAGATGGAGGGCAGTGTGTGTGGAAGAAAATTAATGGAGGTGCGTGCAAGAGAGTTGAAAACATGGCTGTGAGAAAGCAGATTGGATGGAAAAAGCCTGAACTGATAGGCAGCTGCATTAGGAGGCAGAAAAAAACAGGATTTCCTTTGTAGGCACAACGCACAGCTTGCATAGCAAGCATATTCAAAGCTGAATTTCACACTCTGAAATATTTTCCTTTAGAGAGCCTAAGTAGGCACTTACCATGGATTACTACAGTGTAAGAGAATGCAGATATGTTTTTATCTCATATCAGGTAGCTCTGCAGGATTACCTTCCAGCTTACATAGGAATATTTTGTAATCTACTCACATCCATAAGGCTCAAACATCCTAGGCACGCTGAAGGGAATAGGAAAAGAAAACCTCATTAATTCTCATAGATTCACAGAACGTCTGAAGTTGGAAGGAACCCACAGGTTCATCGAGTTCAATTCTCCCATGACCCCTAACAATTTGTCTGGAGGCTGGGCTCAAGGCTATGCTTTTAGCCCTTTGTAGTAGCCCTTCTAGAACAGTGGGAGTGAGCTTGTTCTTTCTGCTGTCCTTGAAATAAGAGATGCCTTCTGGTTGAAGAACAGCCAAGGGACAACTTGACACTCAAGCACAAAAACAAAGAGCAAAAAAAAAAGGGATAAATGAGAAACTGGGGAAGGTTGCATGGACTGCAAATGGCACTATCTGCTATCCAGTGTATAGAACTCACCCCTCATATGCTGGCAAACAGTAACCACCTTCTATGTCCCACTAGAAAAAACACTTCCAATCCTCTCTAAAAAAATCCCTTGTTAAATGTCAATAGCTGAGCAAAAATCTGAACATACATATTTACCAAGTACTTAAGTACAATGATCAGAAAGAGCTTCAAGAAATCTTAAGCAGTGGCAAATCTTCTATTGGCAGTGATATGCTAATTTGTGCTGATAGATGTCAAGTCAGCTAACTGTGATAAAGAATCCATTAAAGAACTGAAAAGAATAAATGAAGCTGAATAAATAATTGAAGGATCTGGAGTGAGCAGCACCAGATGACTACTGATCATGAAAAATACATGTTCTCATGTTGCTGTCAACCACTGTGTTCATAAAAGCAAAATGATTTGTCAACACTTAATGTCTGCTTGCTGCTGCTCATCTTCCAGTCCCTGCTCCTGGCCTTTCATATGAAAAGTTTCCACACCTGGCTGATGAACCCATTGCTCCATTACTCTACTTCTATCCCATTGGGCAGAATTACTCCTGCTTTAGCAAGTGAAATGCTCAACTCTCTTGACACCTGGTTGCTCAACAGCAGACCTGATCATAGGATTCTGTGATAAAGAAACCATAGAATCATTAGCATGGAAAAGATCTCCAAGATCATCTATCCCATCACCAGTACTGCCCATTAACCCATGTCCCTTTGTGCCCCATCACCAGTACTGCCCATTAACCCACGTCCCTTTGTGCCCCATCACCAGTGCTGCCCATTAACCCATGTCTCTTTGTGCCCCATCACCAGTACTGCCCATTAACCCATGTCTCTTTGTGCCCCATCACCAGTGCTGCCCATTAACCCATGTCCCTTTGTGCCACATCTCCTTGGTTCTTGACTCCATCCCTCCGGTTACAACAAAGTACTTGTTATCTCAGACACATCATCAGCCTCTTCAGAAAGTGTCCCCCAAGATCTTCTAACTCCTCCGTTCACCAATATCTGGGGACAGACTAAAAGACCTCTACACCCATCACCACAAATGCAACTGTGGTTTATGAGAAAGAACACACAGATATTTGACCACAGTACTTCTAATTTATAGACCTCATTCAAATTCTTTCTCTCTTGACGCTGTTCTAATAAATAAGACCCAATTCTGATTCTTCCCTTTGTATCTTTATTCACTACACACTGGGACAAATATACCAAGTGTTGATAACAAGAACGAAGTACTGACTTTACAGGATGCAACTGTCCAAAAAGCATTTTTCAGTGTAATAATTGACCAAATCAAAAGGAAGGCAAAAATCTTCAGACACAGTAAGTGGAATCCACGTGCAGAATCACGCAGACTGAATCTGTATGGCACGTTTCCTATCGAGGAATGGCACAGAGCTGGTGTGGAGGTGGCTTCATTGTAGTTGAAAAAACAAACTTGGTGTTGACTTCTTTCACTCCGTCTGGCAGGGTGAAGGTGAACGCCTGCATCAGGGTGCAGAAGATGATGAAAAGCTCCAGCCTTGCCAGCAGTTCCCCCATGCATGCACGGTGCCCTGGGAAAAGAGAGAGAAGGCAAAGGATTTCTATCAAAACCTTCTATCTATCTTTCAAGCTCTGGGCTTATTAGCATTATGAATTTTTCTGCTATTGTTGTGATAACTGGGTCTCTGCTACAAGAGAAGCCAGATCTTTTCCAAGAAAAAGGCCTCCCATCCCTTCTCTTTCAATCTTTCCCAGTTGCAATTGGGCTTTTCTCTTCCTGGAGTTGTTGAAGACACTGGAATGTATTTCTATACCTCTTTGGAGGTGCCTCCACAGTTCACACTGAGGAGCGAGCAGATCTTTAGTTACTGTCACATCAGTCAGTCCCTGCTCAGTGCATTTACCTATTGAGAATGGTAAGAATGCTTCTCTGTGTACAAAGTTTCCATCTTTATCAAGGAAGTGCCCTGGGTTGAACTGATCAGGTGTTTCCCATTTTTCA